ATAAAATCTCTAGAAACCCTCTGGTCATTTTTTTTATTTTGTTATAGTTTGGATTATATTTTGAAAAGGGAGGGGTGGAGGGGGGAAGATTTGAAATTTTTGGGAAAATTTTGGAAAATCCCCTCCTCCTCCTGAACAAATGCAAAATTCGAAAAAAGGATCGGACGGATTTTAGATATGATTGTTACAAATCAAATGATATGTGTCTCAATGTTGTAGCACAATATTTGTAGGAGGAGATAGATTTTTTAAGTACCCCCTTTTTTGCCGTTTTCTATGAATTTCACATTTTTGTTATTTTTTTTGAAAAATTGACAAGAACAAAAAGTTCTTAGATTTCTGTTTTACGTACCAGCAAACGGAGTAAAAAGGGACAGTCCTCCAACATTTTGTAGAAATGTTGTAGCAGCTAAACTAATCAGAATATTGCAAAATTAAAATTAGTGGCATAAAGTTAAACATTTTTACTAGGTATCTATGCAGCATAAAGCAAGTTGAGAAATCATACATTTATTACCTCTAAAAAACCCCTGAAAAAAGTGGGGAAAGTGAGATTTCAGAAAGGTACTTCTGTCAAGGTCTGTAGCAGAAAAAATATTTGTCATATTTAAAAATCTTACATAAAAGTTGCACACTGGTGTAGGCTTAAAAAAGTGATTGACAGAATTTGCATATCTCATTCCAAGAAAAAATGGTGGCCATTTCTGCAAAATGGGGTACTAAGTGGCCCCCTTCTGGGGTAATAAGGGACACCCCTAAAACTGCATTTACAGTAGAGCCTTGGTTAGCAAAGGCTCCAGTTAATGAAAAAAACAATTAACAACAAAGAAATTTGATTACATTAACCTTGCTCAGTGAAAAAAATTTCACTTAACAAAAAATTACTGCATCAGTCATCACAAAATTGTGCATAGAATGTCAGAGATAGAATTGAGCACAGAGCAACAAAAAATGAAAAATAATAACCTAAACTATGATTTATTTCTCCAAAAAATATGATGGTTGTCACTATAATATTCCTTCCTGTTTCAGGTAGGAATGTTTTTTACAATCTTTTTTGTTATAGTAAAATCACTCGACTTGATTAAAATTGTGCATAAACAAGCCGTCCTGTAAGCTTACATATACAGAAAAAATTCTATAAGGATGCTGATATGAAGCTTGCAGTGGACAAGGTAGTTGAAATGCTCTATGGCCTGTTCATGGATATGATAATAGTATCACATTAATAATACGGTAAATAATTAATATGGTTATATCATATCAATTAAGGAAAAACAATTAAAAATCACAGAAAATGTCCTTTATTCTATATTTACATCATTTACCATGAAAGAGGAGGACTTCAGAGCACTGTTAGTAATACATGAGTACACTCTGCATGCTTCAAACGTTTTAAAATTGAGTTTTATCTCAAGTGTCCCTAATTACCCCATTTCCAGATTAATTCAGGAGCCTTTTATATTGCATCTAGCACCTTACAAATAGCATTTGGAATTTTTTGGAGATGCCATACGATAGCCCTCGCAAAGACCTTTAAAATGAGCCCAAACTCGTTTATGAAATGTTTCATGGTAAGAAGTTATTAACCAAAAACACTCAAAACTGTACCTTTTTACCCCGGTTGATGGTATGTGTACCAAGTTTCAAAACGATCCGTTCATAAATGAAAAAGTTTTCAAAAGAGGGAGACGGTCCCCTTAACCTTAATTAGGAAGTACATCATGAATTTATGCCTGACAATGCAATTGAAAAAACTAAATTGCAGAACTTGTCTAGAAAGAAAGACCATCTGTCAACCCTGTTTCAAAATGGTATAAAAACTGAAAAAATGGTACAAGATGAAGCAATTGGAGTCAATGTGTTAAGTAAACTGTAAAAAATTGAATTGCTGCATTTGGATTCTGTCTCGGTCAAAAATAAAAAAATTTGGCTTTTCCATTTTATCAACTCATTTTGCAGCTGCTGAAAAGGTGCGTCTAACAAAGTACACCACATTTACGTGCATGCAATAGTTTTTGCATAAGATTATTTTAGAAATATATAAAATGAACATTTTTTTAACAATATGCACAAAGATTTCTTTGAATTAAATCTGTAAATATTGATCATTACTCTCGTTAGTTGCAAAGTGTTTGTACTCGTTTGAAAGCTATAAATGAGACGTGCTCAATAAAGTTACTACCACAGGTATACGTGCAATACTTTTTGCATAATCAGTCTTGAACTTTATAAAATGACGATTTGATAACAATATTTACAAATTTTTTATGTAGAAATGGTATTTATAGATCATTATTTGCATTAGTTGCATAGTGTTGAACCTCGTTTGAAAGCTGCAAACAATTCGTGTTCAAAGAAGCAAATATCATGGATGTACATGCAATAATTTTTGCGTAATGCAGTTTTGAACTTGTATAAAATGAATATTTTATATATATATATATATATCGGTATAATTCGGCAGAAGCTTTTCTTTTATGCAAGTTTGATTGAAGACCAGAGCATGCTTCTTATTAATAATCTTCTTATTCGTCTTTTCAATGACTCGTGCAATGCAAATAATTGGCAATGGGGAAGCTTGGGCTACAATATCAACAATTTTTTTTGGCATACCATATTCTTCTTTTTTCAATATATTTCACTTTATTTGGCTCCCCTGAACAATTTAAAATCCAAAAAACGCCATCTTAAAAATTTTATAACTCATGCAGTATTCAAGCAACAGCAATGAAAGACATACCGTTTGATTTTTAATTAGAATATCTAGCAACTCTAGAAGCCCTTGTTTCGGATTTGTGCCTGCCTTAACTTCTATCTGAGAGGAGTGGGGGCAGAGGGCAGTAAAAATTCTGAAAAAATGGAAAAATGCCCATTAAGGGGAGCGTCTACCCTAAATTTTATCTTGGTAATTTACAGAGGGATCAATTTGAAATTTGGTACACATGTGTAAACCCTAAAAAAAACTCAGATTTTATTCATGTCAATTTTTCAAAAAATTGAAAGAAAACGTGAAATTCTTAGAAAACGGCCAAAAAGGGGGTACTTTAGAAAACCTATCTCCTCCTAGGATTTTCAAGCTACAACATCGAGACACATATCATTCAATGCGTAAAGAAAATATCTACAAACTGGTCATAGGGGGCTTTTTTTGAATTTATCATTTTTGTGGGTGTGGGAGCATTTTGTCCGAAATTTTTGATTTTACCTCCACTTTCCCCCCCTTTTTGCAAAATGAAATCCGAACTATAACAAACTTTGAAAAGAGCCTAAGAACAGTTTGTAGATCTTTTCTTTGCAAATCAAATGGTATATGTCTCATTGTTGTAGCTTAAAAACTCTAGGAGGAGATAAGTTTGCCGTGAAAGAGGTTTTCATGTTTTCAAACTTTTCAGTAAAGGCGAAAAACTGCAGCGCGCTATGTAAAGGCATGCAACATAGCTTAGATACCGGAAGTAAGCGTTCTCTCACTTCAAAGCCAGTCAGCGATGCATAGGACGACTACATAAACACCTTTCCGCATGATGGCTGAGTGATAACTGAGCTGTAGGTCCAGTGATAGCCATTTTATATGGCTTGGCTGTAATTATCTCCATAGACTTTTGTAAAGGGACCCCACCATCCTCCCCCCTTTCAGGATCTGTCCTGAACGCATAAATCAACGTACAGAGATGGTTCTAGTACCATTCGATGCGGCAGAAAGTAAGCTTTAAGATGAGCTTAAAAACCAGAAAAGCCGAAAATTTCTATTTTTAGAGTAGATGCTCCCCTTAAAGGAAAAAGACGAATAAAATAAAAAATTGAGGCTCCAGAGCCGCTAGATAATTTAGTTACAAATCGAATGATGTGTGTCTCAATATTGTAGCATGTGATTTGCAAAAGTTTTAAACTTTTTTAGAGTACCCCCTATTTTGCCTTTTTCTATTAATTATTCGTTTTCTTTCATTTTTTGAAAAATTCATACAAGTTAATTGTTTTCTATTTTGCAAGCTTTGCATGTGTGTGAAATTTCAGGTTGATAAATGATTGGTTGATAAATGTAGAAGTTTTTCCGGGACTGAGTCGGTCCCCTTAAAAGTCATTCAGACCTCTTGAATTATCTCATATGCTTCTATATGACATGTGCCTAATAACATTAAGTGATAATAAAGTGTAAGAGAGTGAATTTGAAATGATTATCATTAGTCTTGGAATTTGTCCAGGACATACTGGCACATAATAATAATAATAATAATAATAATAATAATAGTGGTTTCAGCATTTATTAGGCTGTAGGCCAGTCACCAATTCTTAACATGGCAGATTATTCCCAGCTTGTTGTAGTTTTGAACTTGCAACTCTGCTCCAATTCTGTGTTGCTTAACCGCCCGGCCTCCTTGCCGATTTTGACCAGAAACTGGCGCACAGAGCTGGGATCGAACCCGCGCCTCTGCTCCAATCCTGCTACTCTGAACTGTAACCACTGGGCACTGTTACCATATTTATGTCTTATTTCAAATATTTAAAGACTTTAATTCAAACAAATTTTACCAAACAAGTTAAAAAATTGCATCATACTCTATATTTTACTAGGACTAGAAACAAAATGATTAATAAAATATCACTACTTTTCTTAAATTTGTGTATTCTGTAATAATGAAAAAAACAAGTTTTTCACCATCTGATTGGAAAGTTAGACAAATGAGCAATTGTAGTCAATGTGTTGATTATGGTAGGTATTGTTGTTGTTCAACATTGCATTTTCAAATGAAGCTACAACTTTGCTGTTGATGGGAAATTTTGCTAACATGCCGCTCATGGAAAGGAATCAATAAACCTATAACTTTTCAACCATCTTTTGTTTATCATCCATCATCAAACCCAGAATTGCCATACATGTTTAAAGAACTATAAGTCACTTTCTCTAAAATTTATTGCTGCCAAAACTTTTAGTTTAATTTATTTAGTCAGTTAAACAATTTATTGCTACTCTTTTTGATTTCATTTATTATTGCTTTCAGATACTCTTCTTGCTTGGTTATTGAAGGATATCTTATTACTTGAAGTGTACCTCAGCAAACCTCAAACTTATATACCCCTCATTAATCTCATGGCGTACAGTACAAAATAGTGCAGAGTTGTTCTGCACCAGCTCTCAGATGCTGCAGTCAGGAGTGGCTGGTGCCCTGAGCAGAGCCTCGTTCAAGCAGCAACTGACGTGTGCAAACTCGAGCCTGAAGGTATGTATGCTTCACAACTAGTGCTTGCGAGTCTATTTTATTTGTCAATTGGGATATTGTTATACTTATCAGCATTTCTGATTAAGTTACATTGTGTACAATTGTTAAACTAAATCCCTTGAAGATATTTTTACTCCATTATAATGCTTACGTATAGTCTTCCCATGCAAGTATTATCATTCTAATAATAATTCCTGTATGTATTCCATCCAGCAATGGAGGGCAGCAGCTCATCCCTACCCTCCATCATGACAGTTTACATCAAAGAGGAGCCTGAAGATGAGGGAGAGGACATAACTGTGAAGGATGAACCACTTTGCAGTGAAGAATATGAGGTGAAATTTTTAACATGATTGAGTTCAAATAAATTGTTAAGAAATTAAAATGCTGATGCTAACTGATCATGTGGCTGCTGTGGCCTTGCTGTGAACAACTTGCTTCTTAACTGTCATTTATAACATTTGTAACATTTTCATCACTTATTATCCTCAATTTTTATGTTTTTGTATCCAAAATTCATTTCAAGATATAATATTTACCTGTGGAATCCAAGGTTGTCCAAAATATTCTATTGAACATTTGAAATGAACATGAACTTCTATGGCAATACGCCCCTCCCATGGCGATATGCAATCCGCCTTGATTTCTTGTTTTTTTTTAGATATTTGTTCTTCTGAGATGTGAAATTTGAGTTTTTCTTTTTGATCTAAAATGGACATGAATGCACATTGATATGAAAATGCCTATTGCATAACTTGCTGCATTTTTTGTGGATTTACCTACACTGATAAAAGTTCAATACTCTTCTAATTTAGGTCTGTCTCCTCATTATTTATACATTATTACACAACCTTTGAATGGGATAAAATATTTAAATGATAAGTTAATTTTTAATCATTGCATGATATGAAAGAATCACATGAATCTGCTTTCCATCTTCAGGATGCCATTCCATGCGGTGCCCCGGCCACCATTGGTCAGGATGTGATGCCAGTTTTTCCTGAAAACAAGGAAGAAAAGATGTCTGCCACTGAGAAACATATTTCTCCAGTACCCAATGGAGCAGCTTTAGTCCAAGAAGTTCTTTCTGGTCAGCCTGTGGCTGAGTTCAAGTCATCCAACTTGGCCAACAATGACCATGCAAGATTAGCAAAGAAATTGCCCAAGGTTCCTTCATGCACTGATTCATTACATCCAAATGTTCCTTTTGAAGCCCACCAAATCTACAAACAAAGTTTTCGACCTGTATTAAACTGCAAGTTATGCGACTATGTTACTAATACAAAAGACAATCTCAATAGTCACCTGGTTTATAAACATGGTTTGGGGAAAGGATTCGAATGCAAGTTGTGTGACTATGTTGCTGGCAGAAAATGCTATCTCAGAATGCATATGCTCTCTATACATGGCATAGGGAACGGTGTGGAATGTGACCTATGTGACTATGTTGCAGCTAAAAAGGAAACTCTCCAACATCACCTGTTTTCCAAACATGGTTTAGGGGAAGGATTAAAATGTGAATTATGTGACTATGCCACTCGTAGTAAATATCTTTTTAATAAGCACCTTTTTTCTAAACATGGTTTGGGGGAGGGGTTAAAATGCCAGTTATGTGATTATTCTACTGCTCGAAAACATTCTTTGAATATTCACATGGTTTCTAAACATGGTTTAGGTAAAGGATTCAAATGCAGGTTGTGTGATTATAGCAACTGTAGAAAATATGTTCTTGATGTGCACATGTTTTCTAAACATGGCTTAGGGAATGGATTCCCATGTGAGTTCTGTGATTATGTTGCAAGTAATAAACGGTATCTCAATAAGCACTTGAAATCTAAACATGTATTGGCTTAGGAAAAGTTGTGCTACTATGTCTGCTTACAATCTAATCTAAACCAAGTTGAGGGGTTTTGGTTAAATTCAGTTAATTAGTGTATTTGCTGAAAAATATACCTATTGAATGCATTCAGATTCAGGACAATCATTTAGTGAAAGGATTCCATATTGAGTTTAGTTACAATGCCACAATCAAATATGAATAAGTCTCCCAATCCATACACCTTCCACATCAAGAAATCAAGGAGTCTTGATGCTAAGTAGTCAGGTCTGTCTCCTCATTATTTTTTCTTATTACATAAGATTCAAATGGGATAATATGGGATAGTATTGTGCATCAATTTTACATTTAATACAGTTGGTAATATAATGTTTATGTTTTCGTGTATAAATGAGCGTTGGCAGAAGGGCCTTTCAAGTGATAAACTTGTTGGTAGCAACGATGTGATCTGCCGCTATAATTACTGTAATTGTGGGTTGAAGATGAAATTCACCTGCTTGTATGTTGGTCAGGTTTGTGGTATTGCTCTTTAAATGTAAATTTTGGGCACACCGGTAATGTTTGAGTTAGGTACTCCTCAATGGGGGCTATGAGAGATTTTTTGTTGATTTGAGCTTTTGTTGTCTCCAATAATAACAGAAATGGCATGAGTCACAGTTTGAAAGAGTTGTGGAATGCACGAATATCTCTTGAAGGTCTATTTAATGCATTTATTATTTTCCTGAAAAAGATTTTCAATACCTTTTATCCCTTTTACATTAATAGCAAGTGCTTGAAGGCAGCACTTAATTTACCATTTAGTATACATGCTGTGGACTGGTGAACTCGAACATACTTGAGCAGGAAACTCGAATGACAATTTGATTGCTCATTAGCTCTGTGCTGTTCTTCGTCGAGCAATGCGGTCTTTTTATATGAACTTTTACATTTTACAACAACCGCCATAAAGTCACATTGGTTGCCTTCTGAACATCTTAGTTTCTATGAACCTGTCTCTTATACACATCTAGATGTGTATAAGAGACAGGGTGGTGAACGGTCGATGGTGACCAGAAAAGGGAGGTGAGCGAAGGCTGGAAGGGTGGCCAGAGAAGCCGCTGCCTCCACGAGACTGTGCCACTGTGAGAAGATGCGAAGGGTTGTGGAGAAAAAAGAGAGGTGAGACGCTGCGGAGACGGGAGGGGATCCCCACAGTCAGGGCAGGCGGCGCTAGGTGCGCGTCTGACCCTGAAGATGTAGGATGCCAGGGGACTGCAGTAGCCCGAGGGGTGCTGGGCCTGCGATGAGGGCGGTAGAGCCGTTCCTCCTCGAAGGCGACAGGAGGGGTGAGGCGGCCAAGGCCCTGTAGATAACAGTGGTCTCGCATCTCTTGAGGGAGAGTTCTCTTTGCCTCCTCATAAGATCCGTCAGGTTAATGTCATTCCATAGGAAGGTGGCGACACGGTAGCCGAATTTGGAATTGGACCGAAGGGTAGCCTTCATTAGTCGGTCTACTGGGGAAGTAGAGACGATGAGGAAGGAGGGATGGAAGGGCCGGAGGGCACTGGCAAAGAATTGCACACATATGCGGTGTCCAGATGGGTAGGTATGGAGAGAAAGCCCGTCACGGTGTGGAGGTCTTCAATTGGCATCATCTTTCGGCTCCCGATGGTCATTCTCGAGGCCGAGTTCTGGATTGTGTGCAGGCTCGCCACTGCAGAGCAGTAGGCAACAAGGTACGAAATAGGATTGGGTGTGTAATGGTTCTTATAACTCAATTTACCAGCCAATACTACTACACCAGGAGCTAGTTAAGTAATCCAAATGACGACCCTAGTAACGATCCATTTCGACAACGTGTTTCGAGGTATTCCTTCATGCAGACGACTTCCAACCCTTTACCTTTAAGCACCTCGTATAGACATGACCTTACTTCTAGCATTACTCTGTTTACCTAGATTCAGACGTTCACCATATTTGATGCCTTGCAGAAACTTAGGAAATGCAGGACAGCTTGACCGACTGAACATATCGTTTCGTCTCCCCTGCCAATATTACTAGTAAGCAATAGAGGGAAAACGAATATTGTGTATATTAACGATGGCGCACCTTTTGTCGCAGATGCGGGATGAAATCTAAAAGCACCTCAACAGAAATGCATTATTTAGTTCTAATTCACTGTGATTCTGTAAAAAAAATCCCAAAAAGTTTGTAAAACGTATAGTTGTTACTAAAGGGTTTAAGAAAGATACCGAGATCTTGTCAGCCTCTACTCGTGGACCTGATACAAATACGCACGAACCTCAATATATTCGATACCATATTGATGCGCTTACGAAATGCACGGCCATCAATATAGACTGTTTATGTTTACCCACTATTAACCCTAATTTGTCCTGCCAGTTTAGTCTCACAGTAGACAAAATCTTATAAGTCTCCAATACTGCTGCCAAATCAAAACTTTTACTTGTGTAATAATCTTTCATTGTATGGTTTAATTTACCATTGATGAACCACCACATCTGTTTCATAATGTGTAGTAATATCATTTGCAGTGAATTGTCAATGAATTTCACCATATCATAACTTAGCTTTCATTGCATTCAACAGGTTGAGAGACATAGGCATTGATTGTGTGACATCAGAATAAATTAGGATAAAACCCAAACAATTTGGTGCACAAGCCCCGTTTTATACTATTTTTGAAATGGCAATCGATATGTACTGCACAGGTAGGAATTAATATACTCCTCATGTTTTCAACATTCCGGAAAAGCTAAATTCTCCATGGTATGTCATGGATCATTTGATCGCCACGCTTTGAATCATTTGATCGCTCCGCATCGTTTTCACGGGAGAGCCGAGAGAGTCGCTTGCGTTCAGGGATTAAACGTCTAGTGTGTATCGTCCTTTGTTATGCAGAGTTAACTCGCAAATAATCATTTGGAAATCTCTTATAATTTGAATTATTACCACGTTTTTCTTCATTTCGTCTCTGTCTGTGAGTCTCAGTCTGTCATCAAAAATTTAAAACTTAATTTATACCTACAATGAATTTCTCATTTTATTTTCAATTGTTAACAAAATTAATTTTTCAATGTAGCATTTCTGAAGATCCTAGAAACTTGAAATTTGACATGCATGCTTATGATGCCTAACAATTCAAGATTTCATCATTGGAAGTAATAATTGAAAAAATGTCACATTATTTTCAAATAAAAAAATTTAAAAACCCTAAAAATTCATGGTTGGGATTGAGTTTTTTTGTCAAACATCCAGACTTGCCAACCCTGAAAAATGATTTGAATTGCTAAAATTGCTAAAAAAAAATTTAGAAAATGAATAACTATAAAAACCATTTTTTTAATAGTACCACGTTTTTCTGGTGGTTACAAAACTAAAAACAATGAAATAAAACAAATAGAAAAACTTTTAAAAACCATGTTTTTCTTAATGGACAAAAAAGAAAAACATTGCCTCCTACATTAGTACATATAACATAATATTACAGAACCTTCTACATGACTTTAATGTTAGGGTAAACGCGGTATATTCCGTCATATTAAGGACGCATCGAGAAATGAAAAACTATAAAAAAATAACTGTATGCGTTACTCAAGTTCTGTTTGCTTTATGTGACTCTCAAAACACCACACTACGTGTCACGGTGTCAGCAACAACGAAACGTCACAAAATGTTGCCATATTTATTTAAAAGCCTTTAGATTGCGAACCTACCAAATTCCTATATTCCGTCACTGTGTGCGGCTATATTCGGCACGTGGTGAGGCGTATTCTGTCCGCGCTTCAAGTTCTACTGATACGTAATGCCGTCATCCACGTGTTTGAATTCCGTTCGCTGTGTGAGCTCAGCTGTATTGGAATCACTGTGACAAAGCAGAGAGTTTTTTAGACTTTCCCTCAAGTTCATTTTTGAGTCCTGTTAGTAGACCAGTAAAGTATCATGGATACCAGCATTATCATACTTAAGAAATAGGTTAAAATCTTGAGCAAATGAGGAAATTAAAAATGAACTTATTCTAAAAAAGCTCTGGTTTGTCACTATGATTGGAATACAACACGGCTTTGAATTAGAACACTAATGAATATTGAACACTACTTAATTACGCTTTTAATTAACAACTATTAAGCAAATTTTAATTTTTGTTCACAGCTTGGAACGATCTGTGTGTGTCCAATTCAAGTTGTGACAGAATTAGTTTTCATGTGTCTAAATCCATTTCTCAACTTAATCATCTATTAATTTATTTACCACTTGAAATCAGCAAATACAAGTATACTTAAAGGATTCCTAATATATTCACAGACGTATTTAAAAGTCTCACACCATAATATTCTTCCTATACAAACAGTTATTCATTATTTGGTAGAGCAAGGTCAACTGTCAAATTTGACACATTTTTCGATGATCTCACTGGGTAGCGTGCATTGTCTCTCTTTGGATCTCACTATTTTCCCGCTAGATGGCCAAGACCTAGTGTTTTGGCAGTAGTTTGACACGCAAATGTATGACGTCACCATTTCAACCATCAACGAACGCATGGAACTAAAACAAAGCTTAATATAAAGGAAAAACTAGAGAGGTGACGGAATTACCCACGATTTTGGAATATACCGCGTTTACCCCATGTAAGAGTTAATGTTTTTCTTTTTTGTCCATTAAGAAATGGGGTTTTTAAAAGTTTTTTATTTGTTTTATACTGCTATGTATACGGTGTATACCTGGCTAAGCAGGATTGGAATTTTCCTACTTGTTTCTGAAATCTTGCGGCTGTAACATGACAAATTTTGAATACCAATTGTATTAAAAATTGTTTAATAATCATCTCATGTGCACAAAGGTATGGACCGTATGGTATGTGCACAAATGTAAACAATGCTGGCAAAATGGCGGACAGCCACTTTCCGCATTGGCGTGGGTAAGGTATTTAATTTTGAAAGTCTTGCCCTAATGTTAGCTTAATTCGAATGACTTGTGTTTGGAAATGAACTAAAAAACTTGAACTAAGACAACACCATCTTTTTTTTAGAAATGTCTATCAAGTACCTGGGAATAGCTTGGGATGTGCAAGGGGTAACATTTGTGCTCTAAACAAACATTGATATTGTATTTTGAAATTAATGAATGATAATTTGAAATCAAGATCACAGTTTGTAGAGCATGCTCTCAAAATTTCACAGCTTTGCAGCTGTTCCAACAGTTATTCTACCATTTCAGAAATGCATTGTAGTCATGCAGTTTATGTTCAGTTCAGTTACGTGACCAAGTGAGGAATGCTGGTCCTGGACTGCTGCCAAGACTGAGACATGAGATGAGATCAGACATGAGACAAGACATGAGAGGGGACATGAGACGAGACATGAGAGGAGACATGAGACAAGGCATGAGACAAGACATGAGACTGTGACATAGGATGAGACATGAGACCAGGCATGAGTTGAGACATGAGATGAGGCAAGACATGAGACGAGATGTGAGACAAGACAAGACACAAGATGAGACGAGGCATGAGACAAGACATGGAACGAGACACGAGATGAGATGTGACATCATGATCAGTATTTAATAATAATATTATTAATATCAAATATTCACTAATATTTATTATAATTAGTTAAGAAATAATATTAATAAAATTAATAATATTGTTATTACTAGTAAATTTTATTTGTATATTCTATTCAATTTCATATTTTTAAAGCTTAATTATGGTGCAAAAACCATGAAACTGAAATTTATTCCATCCAATTCTGCCTGTAAGTTTAGTTATAGCATTCATATCTATCTGTTGCACCCATTTCTCCCACCCACCTGCAGTCAAAGTCTCAACCAAAATGTTTTATTCTAATTAGAATATATAGCCTACAACAAGAGCTT